ATGGAGATGGCTGGCTTAGATTTTACAGGATGCTGGGATGAAGGAGAAAATGAGAACAGGGGAGCATGCACAGATAAAATAACAGGGCCAACACGTCAAATGTTGCCAATTCCACATCACTAATAAGCTTGTTTGTCACATGCCAGGGCTGCATGAATTGAGGTTGTTTTTAAGGGAGTTATGTCACCTGAGGTTGGTTGTTTTTCAAGTCTGATTCATCTGTGTCCTTCCGAAATCACCACAGTTCCGTGGCTTTTAGACTAAGTAGTTGCTAATGACATAATGCTTCTAATAGCTTGACTTCTACCTGTGTGCTTGGTGGAATGATGATAAATATATTCATCTTAATAATTTAGTTGGAGGTGTGGTCTATTTTAAGATGATCTGATATGCAAATACGTACACTTAGGAAAATCACAGGGTGTGATTACTGATGTTCCCCAAACAGTTCATTCTAGGTTGTTTTTAAAAAAAGTATTCCTATGTTTTATTGCCTTGCACACAAATCTACAGGTATTTGTACATAAACTAAAGCAAAACACTCCTATAATTATCTCAAATGTTCCCTGTTATACACTTGCCAACATCTCAGATAAACCAGATTCTGATTGCTTGACGCAATCACCTCTACCAATGTTTAAAATCAGGCACTAAGCTTGTACTGACTGAGATAGTCTTTCCAGTGAAAAGAAAGCTCCAGTTTCCCAAGAATCCAGAATTTCTAAAATGTCTCTTATTTGCGGATACTCTGTTAGCTCAAGATTCAAGGTTCACAAAATGCCTTTATTTCTATCAATGTCTTCTGATATCAAGCCTTCAACCCCCTCTCCTTCTTTCTCTTACTCATATACCTTTCTTTCCTCATTTCAAAGGCACAGAGGCATTCAAATAAACATGGATTTTTTTTTTCCTGCCAAGGATTGAGTATGTAAGTCATTACCTCTGGCTCTCGCTCAATATGCAAATGGTACCTGGAATTTAGCAACAGTCACTCAAACACCTGCGAATATTTGTGATGAACCCATGTGGGATGATCAGTGAAATGACACAAATGCACAAACTTTCTGAAGTATTACGAAGATCTTCATGAACATCCTCCAGCTGATCCATTTTGATGTCCTTTTTTTTTTTTTTTGGTCAAGATAAAAATGACTACTTAGAATTGGACCAACTTTTGGACTTCTGGTCTACCTTAATGATCTCAGTGATCTAACCAACTAGAGTTAACCTTACCAGTTGCTAACCTAAACTGCTTCAATCAGATTACACTTAACAGATTGATAATGACCATTCTCAATCCAGTGATTAAACTTGGTCCAATGATATCAAAGATCAGGTAGGGCATTCAGACACCCAGAATTACTTCCAGCTTATTCTCTTCTTTTTCAATGAAGAACATTGATATTCCATTAGAAAGCCACTGTGTGTCTCTAGAAGAAAGCCTTTTCTCTCTTTCAGTCAGAAGAGTAACATCAGACTCAATGATGTAAGACAACACAGCTTTAATTCACATATATTGTAACAAATGTTATTCAAGGAGTCTGTACCTCACCCAAATTGCTATGTGAATCTTAAGAGAGCACCTGTGGTGCTAGGGGACATCATGTGCTTTGCCCTGAGTCACTTCCCAGAGGGAAGTGGTCTCTTAAGGAATATGAACTTGACCTTTCACCAGTCAATATCTACATCAGTGATTTGAGCAAAGATATGTCACATAAGTGTTGATCCAAGGTTGAAAGTAACCCCTAACACAAATGTTAGGTGACAGTTGCATGAGGAAAGTTATCTGCACTTGGATTTTAGGGCTGGGATCACCTTGATGGCTCTACCTCATTCCTTTTAATACACACACATAGGGAGCCTACCAGTGCTGATATGTTCTGACTCATAGACTTTGAAGGACAAGTTCGAAAGATGCTCTGAAACAGCCATTCACAAGGCAGGGGGTATTTGCATAAGTAGCATTTTCAGCAATGCATTGATATTTAAGGGGAAAGAGGTCAGTTATGCTATATTGTTGGATCAATCCCAATGAAGGAAGGTCCTTTCCACATCACCGCTATGACCCTGTTCAGAAACAGGGATGCAACCAACAAGACAGAATTTTTAGTAGAAATAAATATTTAAAAAACATCTTTCACTGTTGGTTAAACAATCAATTGCATGTGACCTAAGTCAGTTGAGGTGAGTGAGTGATACCTGTGCATTACCTGGAGTGTATCACTTTGACAATGTGGTACATTTAGTCAACCATAAGCTCAATAAGCAACAATGGAGTGAGGACCGAGCTTAGGAGCTGATGCAACTCCCAGTGGAGTCCAGATCAAGGGGATGCTCTACTGAGGTCTGCCTGAGTTACCCAGGGCATGGCACAGAGGAACTTAGGGAAGCACAGAGGAACTAAAGCTGTCTAGCACAGGATGGCTGGAAGAGTGAAGGATGTGGAAACAATGCCATTCAAAAAACAGAGCAAAGGGCCTCAAATGCTAAGTGAAGAAGGGAAGACTGGCTAGAGGAAATTCTAAGAGCTGCTTCAGTGACTCTTAAAGGACTGTGTAAGGAACACTGAGGAGCAGAAGACACAGGAAACATCCCTTCATGGTCAACAGAGTTGGCCAAGGGTCCCACAGAGGCTGGACACCATCACCATCAGAGAGAAGCTAAGTGATACTAGAAAAGAAAGCCAACTGATTCTAGAAAACTGTAAAAAGTGCCTTCCAACCCCTAGTGATTCTAGTCTTTCATGTGACCTTGCTCTCCGGAGGCTCCTTTCTTCTGCCATTCCATATAATTTCTAAGCTGACACGCCTCCTGAATCACTCCAATTATCAGAAAACACTGGTTCATCCACTTCTATAATTCAATGATGCTAGCTATCCTCATTATCTAATTACCTGTCATGCAAAAAAACTTTAGTTGGAGGAGAACTTGAGGAGAGCTTGCCAAAGTAAAAAGTGACCTGGTTACTCCTGCATAGCTCACATTTGTTTTTTTCTTAATTATTAACTATCGACAACTGTCAGACTGATATCATCATGCTTCTTGGATGTCAATATTTAATTACTTTAGAAATGGCAAATTTTGTTAGGATTTCATTTAGGCAACTGTGTTAGTCTGGTGTTATCAGAGGCTGATTTGGATGATTTGCTCTAACATTGACTCACTCAGCCTCCAATTATATCATGTTGACTACACTTGGAAGAGGATCCAGGGCAAAAGAAAACCACAACACAAGCGATGTGAAAGGTCTTGCATAATTATCTCCCAATAAGACAGATGATCTAAACTGAAAACTCAATTGTAGAAAAAGTCATTCCTTTCCAGGCTTGAGACATGCTCTGCTTGGTACCTTCAAGTCTCAGTATTTCGTAAGGATGAGTCGTTCAGTTTCTGCCTATTTATTCTTACCCCGTGAATGTGAACTCCTAGGTATAAACCAGAAGTGCCAACCTATTAAAGAACTCGAGGTAGGCACAAATCTTAATAATCTTTCTGGTCTCAGTTGGCTGTTGAGCTATTTCTAGCGAAGATAGAGAGTGTCATTCAACTGAGATTGAGGCTTCTGTCCTTTACTGGAGCTTTCAGAATCACATTGGGTCACTTTGCACAAATCTACTTGTTAAGTCTGATATTGCAAGATCTGTCAAGACACAGCCCTGTGAATTGAGCCCTGAAATGTACATTCAATCCACACAACACACAAGAGGGAGCTGAAATCTTAGCTGAGGGTTCGGTTCCAGGGTTGAGAAAGAAAGTATCCAAGTACACATCACATTAAAAAAAAATCTAGGTTTTTTTTTTTTTGCGTATCAAAGAGCATATGTGAGTTTCAAAAATATTTAGCAGTTCCTTAGTTGCATTTTTGTTCAGTTGAAATCAACTCTGGATGCAAAACTTACCAAAAAATAGGTTATTTGGAACAGCAGTTTGGGTTCCATTGGATTTAGCTTTGTTTTCTATTAGTAGGATGGGAATTAGTTCCTCAAATACGAATTCCAAATTTAGCTCTGGTATTTCACACTATCCCTTTTGGCTTTATTTGAGTTGATTGCTTTTAAGGAATTTCCTTTTAAACAGAACAAGTGAAGATCTAATATATTTTAACATTCTAGTCAATAAGCAATTCATTATACATGTTCTTTAAGGTGAAGGCTATTCCTTCTGAATAGGTAAGAGGGAACCGGCCAACTAAAACGAAGGCAATTACAATAGGATATACAAAATGATATTGGAGAAGGGCCATAATAGAGTTGACGTTGTTTTAAAATCAAGCCTTTACATCCTTCTGATTTTGGCCCACTCAGTAGCAAAGGGCTACATTATGAAGGGGCTCATACCCATCTTTTATATACCATCAATTATAAAGATAGATTTCTAGTGGCCATAAGTCCATGTGTTTTAAAGCTAAATATTCCTGGTCATTTTTAATTTTCCAGGAGGGTCAGTACAGTTTTCTCAATCTCTCTGTGAATCGACCATCATCTTGAAACTGCTAATTATTTTTGCCTTTAGAACAAAATGAACTCCAAATGTGACCAAGAATACAGGCAGACGCAAAGGCAACCAAGCTTTCGTACGTGTAGTGCATGTATATAGCATGAGTATACAAAACGCAAGGGAGAGAATTAATAGGCTCTTTCGGGTCCCTGTTATATCTTTGGATGCTACTGCGATGATAATCATATCATCTGCTACACTGGGGTCTCTCTTGTCTTTGTTCCTCACGGTTCCAAAACCCCAGGTGTGAACATCACTATCATCTAAGACAACCATGCCCACAGCACCACACCCCTACCAAATTTAGGCAATGAATCATGCCCCTTCTACTTCAAAGGGATGCTAAGCAAGCCTCATCCTGGAAAGCTAAGGGAGGGAGATTGCAGGACCTCTAGTGACCATACCCCACTTTCCAGGACCCCAAAGAGAACGGGGCATGGTACAGACTCAGTGTGCCTTAAGTCTGTGCTCCACAACCCTGAAACTCTTGGGTGACACTATACCTTTTCTTCGCTGCTGATGTTTCGGGTGGAAGTCCTCCAGGTGATGGAGGGAATGGGGTCTCCGGAGGCTTCACAGGTGAGAGTCACCTGCTCCTCCAGTTCCATGGCAGTCTGGTTCTCTACATATGTGATTTTGGGTTTTGCTGAAAAGAAAAAAAAATTCTGTAAGTTTAGCTAATTACATAGATACATTTTTCTGAGTTTGAATGATGACATGCATCCATTCAAAACAAAAGTTATCTATTTTCTAAGTACAAGGTCCTATTCTAACTATGACAGGAGACACAGAATTGAATGGATGCAGGAGCTATGATGTATGCTATCCTGTTCTGGGCTTTCACCAGGAGATAGCTTTGGGGCTGTGCCATGAGATTTTCAAACAGGCACAACTTTGGCCTGGAAATGAAGTGATTCCAAGTATAGACAAACTGCTTGAATAAAAGCAGAGAAGCTGGGGCATATAAAAGGGGGGTTGGGAAGAGGGTAGCTCTCTATGAGGAAGACAGACATTAGGCTAGGTGGCTGGAATTTCCCCCACTGACTGGCCTCCACCACTGACCACCACAATAGGGGTGATCATTTCTATTTTAAAGATGGTGAATTTAGGAACATGTCAAGATGATTTAGAATGGAGGAGGACTCGAGGTAAAGATACCAGTTTTAGAAGTTCTGGCAAGGACCCAGATGTGAGCTCATACTGTATACTAAAAGAGTTTGTTTTAGGGTGGCGGGGGAGAAGGAATGCTTTGACTTGCAGGTGTGGGGGAACATCTGGCTTATAGGCCATACAAGTCTTGTGAGCTCATTTGGTACATGAGGGAACAGACCCCAGACACAGTGCTTCTGTGCTTCCCATTGGCTTCCCACGGCCTATCAGCCTGGATTGACAATTTTGTATGGCCAATATCCAAAGAGCTCTCCTTCTTGGAGTAAGTGGAAATGAATAGAGGACTCCAGCAGGGGTGAAAGAAAGGGTTGACATTCTTACGACAAGAAGCATGGTGGTGCTAGAACAGTCTCCAGGGAGGAGACTAGAAAGAATGCAATGGATTGGAAGCTTCTGGGTGGACTGAAGATCGGAAGAAAAGGAGTTGAGATGAGTTCATTTTCCAAATGTTTTGGGTAATGCACGAAGCACAGGCATTCCAAATCTGAGCGAAATGCTAACACATTAGGGAAAATTGAATTCTTTTCCCCAATTTAAAACAATTATCCTCTAAAATGGTTTCTATAGGAGAAAAAAAGAGATAACACCAAAGAAATGTAACTTATTTCACTAACGGAGGAAAAATAATTCTAGTCAGTGAGGCAAATAACACCCAGCTACTAGGTAAATAGTGGAGGATTATAGAGTTCTCCTGCTTACACTTGGTTCACTCTAGCACCAAGGTTTCATCTTCCAATAGTCTGACTTTGTGTTAGTGTCTTTTGTCAGCCCATGGTGTTTGGATCACTCTCCTACTGTTCACCTGGCCTCCATGGAACTTGGTATCTCGAAATGCTTCATTCCTTCTTTTCCTTGTGAACCCCCCTGTGAGATCTGCCATCTTGTGCTGTTTCCCAGCACTGTCCGTGCCTCTGCAGTCAGCCACTGAGGGCTGGCTTTGTCAATGCTCATTCCAAACCAAGCCCCAGCAACTCTAGTCCAAGAAGAACCCTGGGGCTCTTGTTTCTCTGAACAACAAAGCTGGATATTCTACTGCCACTCAGGATGGGGGTACGATTCCCCTCGGGTTCCTGCTGGTCCTAAGAAATCAGCTAAGCAAGGCTTCTGCCCACTGGCATACTTCCCTCAGCCAATAGCAGACATGAGACTTAAGAGCATTAGCACAAGTGTAATAATCTGCGGAGACAAAAAAATCCCTTGCAGAAAGAGTCCACAGGGAGAAGAGCAATGGAAATTCACTGCCAACCTTAAAGGAGGGTAGGACATAATTACTTAGCAAAAGGAGCTTCTAACTGATAACTAGGGCAGGGCATGCTTGAACTGGTCCTTTCTTAGATTAAAAAAAAAGGCAGAACCATTACCTTGTTCCCCTAGTCTCCTTACCAAAGACTTTGAGGTGGATGGATGCATCCTGTTCGCCAGCCTTGTTTTCAGCAATGCAGACATACTCAGCCTCATCATTCTTATCCACCTTCCTGATGGTCAGCTCGGTACTGTCGTCACTGAAGATGTACTTCTCTTCGTCCTCCTCATTCTCTATCAGTTCCCCATCCCTGTAGGGTGCAAAAATGCAAAAGACAAAGATGCTGAGCCCAGGGCCCTTCTCAACGATGTAGACTTCAGATTCCTTTCCTAAGGCTACTTAATCCTTTGAGTCTGTCCAAAGGATGTAACTGTGTTCTGAGAGGTGTCATAGACTCTCCTACCCGGCCATGCTCTCCCAATCTGCCTCCACAAGACTGAAAAATCTTATGCCTGCACAAGGCAAGAGAATGTGATGTAACTGAAAATCCATTCTTCACCTGGAGAATTTCCAAGAAGCCCCTCCCCAAGTCAAGGCTATACCAACATGCAAACGGTTCCTATGATAGTCCCCTTCTCTTGCCCATGACCCAAGGCAGGGGTCAGTTTCTTACTTTGTCCAGCTCATCGTGGGTTCTGGGAAGCCGTCTGCATCACACCCCAGGGTGACCGATTGGCCCAGATTGGCGGTGGCATTCACAATGCTCTGCCTGGCATGGACAGTGGGTGGCACTGAAGGACAGAAGAATGGCAGGGAGATTGTGAAAATAAGAAAGAACTCAATGACTCAGAGAAGGGCCCCACACAGGGGCCAGGAGTCCTGGGTATAGAATTAGTGTAAGAAACCTAAATTCATGTGTGGACTAAAGAATTACAGTGAACAAAAATCCCACCATTTCCCCACATGCATGCATTGTTGGTTTTCAACTTTAGATGCTATCATATTACATTTTGCCCGTGTTGACATGGCATGTGATTTACAGTAGCTATTTGTCATTATGTGTTTTCTCAATCAATGTACACTAAATAACTACGGGCTTGGTGGACCTCGATGTTAATTTAACAAACAAACCAGTATCTCCATAAGGATAGTTACTACTGTGAAGAAACCCACCAACTCACCAAAGAAGGTCATTTTCCTAGAATGATCATAAACAACTTGTACACAAACTGGTTCTTTTTCCCCAAAAGAAGAGCGAGATGGGGGAGAGTTTGGCAAAAACATACATATCAATAGCCAAAACAATTCAAATGTGACTTATTTTCTTAGCTCTGACATTATAATTTCCTGTAAACATCTTGTAAATGTCAGATCGATTCTGTGGGTGTGTTTATTTGACACTGCAAATTAAGATTCATAAACCACGGACCATGATTTGGACTGTTTTGAAATTAGAGTGAAATGAAATAGTTTCTCTAGACCTTGAGCCAGAGGGACTCAATTATGATAATATCCAAGAACAATGAGGAAGAAGAGGAACTTACTAGGAAGTGTGTGGAACTTTTCTAGTTCTGTAAGATGACAAAAGATGTTCAGTATTTGCATCCAAATCCCCCATCATTGATGGGAGACCCAGGCAACGAGTTTATTTAAAAAAGAAAAGGAGTATTTCTTCCCCTAGAGGTTATGGTGGGGAGTTGAGATGAATGAAGGAGTTGAGACGAATGGACTGGGAAGACCAGACTTGTTTTAGAAAGCAAAGAGAAAAAGTGAAAGGAAATGCTTTAGCGGTGGTAGGGAAGGGGAAAACCACAGTTGCAGCAATGGAGAGAGAGCAAAAATGGGACTCCTCACCATTCACAATAACCTGAATGTCCTTGAAGTTGATCTCCCCCCGTGCCAGGATCCTGCCCTCACAGCGATAAGTGCCCTCATCCGTTTTCTTGATACCCCGGATCTGCAGGTAGTTGTTGGACAGGACTATGAATCGGACTAGAAGAGACAAGAAGCAGGTGTTTATCCAAGGGTCAGTCAGAAACCGCTGAGATCTGCAGGCAGGTAGCTGAGCCTCTTCCTCTTCCTTCAGTCTTACAAGGTAGGGGTTAGGGCTGACAGGATCTCACATGAGCCTGGCTCTGTAATAAGATCTGAGAGCAAGAGTCTACTGAAAAAAAAAATCAGGTGCTGGAATTTATCACCTATGTCCATTTGGGCTTTGGGAGTCCAAATATTGTGGGTCTAGGGGAACCAGAATGTGCTTTTGGCCTGGGAATGCCTCAGAAGCTGAGAAGGATGAAGATGAGGGAATCTAGCGGGTTCACAGGGAATGAATAGTGTCTCAGGCAATTCAAGTCTCACCATCTTTCTTCAGGATGACATCTCGGCCTTTGTGTTTCCAGATGATGGTTGGGGGTAGAGAGCTGACCACGTCACACACGATCACGGCATCCTCTCCCTCTCTGAACTCCTGTGGGGTTGGTGCGTTCTTGAACATGAGCTTCTCTGGAAAAATGAGCAGGAGAAGCATGAGGAAGAAACTGGATCCACTCACAGGAGCACTTCTTTTTTTTTTTATTTTATTTTGTGCCAGTCCCGACCTTGAACTCAGGGCCTGGGCACTGTCCCTGAGCTTCTTTTTGCTTAAGTCTAGCACTCTAACACTTGAGCCACAGCGCCATGTCTGGCTTTTTCTGTATATATGGTACTGAGGAATTGAACCCAGGGCTTCATGCATGCTAGGCAAGCACTCTACCACTGAGCCACATTCCTAGCTCACAAGAGCCCTTCTTAGTAGAGTTATGTTACTGGACCTGAGTTCCAGGCCGGCCTCAATCCCTTCATACAGTTCTATAAGAGGTACTCCCAAGCAGCAGCTGGTCATAGATGGGAGACGGAGAAGCTGGCACGTAGGCTGCCAGTGTTTAGCTACTGATAGCAGAAACAATCTACAGAAGGGGAAGGAGTATCTTCACCGAGAATTCCTTGCCACGTGGGATGGTACCAGTGAGACAGACGGACGGGCAACACAACTGGTCTATAATAGCAGTCCCTTCTTTGTCTCCCTATAGCAAAGAGAATTCTGAAGACAAGGAGGGAAGCTGAATGACAATAAATATAGGGCAACTGGTATTGTCCCACTAGCTGTCACCCGTGTTGACTCTGGTCAACAGGACAGAGGCGCTGGAACAAAGTAATGAGGTGCCATCTCTAGATGGGGCTTTAGTGGTAGGTGGAATCTCCTGCTGTGAGCAGCACTGAATGCTCAAGTAAGGAGGTTTGATACCACTGGCACCTGGGCAATATCCCCCGCTGAAGGACAGTGAAGTAAAAAGGAAAGCCTCAATGGTCTAACCACAAGACACCGAGGGAGCCCTATCAGCTTTCTGGGAACTGTGTATTTTGAGCCAAAGAAGGCAGACTAGTGGTTTATGAGTTCTGAGTTCCCCAAGGACCGATGGAGAACACAGAGGAACTCTGAGTTAGGTCAGGAAAAGACTTACAAAGGGGAACACAATCCTGCCAGGGCCGCACTAGTCCTTTTACTGCCTCCTCACTATTTCTACAACCCTACCATGTGTCCTGCTGGCAAAGCAGAGAATGGAGAATGACGGAAGTGGGGAGGGAGGTTCTTACGGAAGATCTTCACGTTGACAGTGGCCTCAGACTCGCTGCCATCTTCGCCCGTGACCACACACTTGTAGATGCCTGCGTCATCGATGTTGGCGTTGTAGATGGTGAGGGTGGAAGAGGAGTCGTCATTCCACACCACCGAGATCCGCTGCTGGTTTGGGCTGAGCTTCTCTCCATTGGGGGAGAACCAGGAGATATCCTTGTCTTTGGCATCTCCTGCCACTGGGGAGGGAGAGATTCTTTTCAAACCGCTGAAATCGTGATGATGAAGCTCATGCAGAGTGACAGTGGCTATTTAGTAAGCGCTACTGGTATCTGGGTGGTGAGGAAGGGGGACCCCGCTGGTTTAAGAATGCCCAGCAGCTCCATTTTACATCTGTTTCATTATTGTATATCTAAGATGGGGAAAGATGCCACACATGCCTGGGCTCCTATTGCTTTCCTGTTCATTTGTTGATCATTGATTGTATCCTGTGTACTGAGCTGATGTACTTCTAGATATGCTGAAGTTAGTATATCAGTGGGCATGAGCCCACTGACCAGCTTATTTTCAAAGGACTGGATTAGAATCCTCTGAGCTGGAGACATGAGACAATGTCTAGTCTAAGAGTATAGGCTCCAATTACATTGGTTTTAGCATCTGTTTGTGCATACCAGCATAAATGTCATTCCAGCACCTGCTACTTTGGACAAATGTAGCTCTTCCTCTCCTGTGGGCATCTGCGAGGGGCAGACTACTGCTGCTGCCGAGCTGACCAATGGTGGGCTGCGGCTCAGCCAGGGGCGCTTGGTTCCGGCAGATGTAGATCCTGCAGCCTCTCTGCACGGAGCCCCTCCCAACCCACCCCATCCAGCCCCACGCAGATGCTTAGTATGGAAATGAAGCAGTCTTCCTTTCAGGACCCATCGTGTTTTCAATAAATATCACTATTTGCAAGATGTGCTGTGGGCTCCACGGCTGCGTCTCCGGATCGTTGGGATTGCTGTAATGAAGACAGAGCCGGAGCGGGTGCATCCGCCGGCCACAACTACCTCATTGGATGCAAATCATGATGGCACTTAACAGTTCTCCCCCCTGCCAAAAGCTGCTTGCTAAATGCCACGGTTCATATCCAGCTCCACTCTTTCCAGGTTCTGCCATGTTCTGAATTCCCAGTTGGTTCCTATTCAGAGAACCTGAGGCCTAATTCTATTAATTATAGGAGCTGCGGAGGAATAAAAATGCATGTTTTCTAAAAAAACACAAGGTTTGACACAGCCCAGAGCTGCAGTGGACAGAATACTGCCCCATGAGGCTTTCCCAGCAGACCTGTGGGGCACATGCCCTCCGAACCAGAGAAAGCACTAGGCATTGCCTTTGGGGCAAATTTTGAATTTCTTGGACTTACAAGGTAGGAGATTCTAAGCAATGAGCCGTAAGTTAATCTGTCAAAGCATTGCTGGTTGGTGCCCATGTTGTTTTCACTGACAGAGCTAGTGGGACACAGATCCGGAGAAGCGAGATGCTTTGCTGCCTAGGAGTTGTGCTCCTATTAAAAAAAACTCTTGGGCTTCCCTCCACTGCCAATCAGACAATAAATACACATCACCCGGATGGTGGCAGCCTCTGAGAGGAAACAAGGGGGCCTGAAAACTCCTCTATCCCGGGGCACAACAATGCCCAGAAACCTAGATAGTGCCATCAACTGGACACTCAAGGAACTTCTGCCTTGTCTGATGTTTGTATTGATTGGGTACTTGGGGTTGAACTTGTGCATGCTAGGCAGGTACTCTAGCCCTCTGTTTTCTTTGGTGGAGTCTTGTTTGCTTCCTGGCTTGGCCTGGACTATGGTCTTCCTATTTAAGCATCTCTGTGTTAGACTCAGCCATTGGTTAGAAGGAATCTCGCAAAATTATATATCCAGGCTGGCCTGGAACAGAGATTTCCCCAGATCTCTGCCTCCTCTAAGTAGCTAGGATTACGAGTTTGAGACACAGACTCCAGCACCCAGCGAGTTTCTGAGGTGAGCTTGGAAGCGCGGAGGGACACGGAACACTTGCCTTGGCACAAGAAGAATTTGGACTCTCCAACGCTGATCTCCCCTTGGCTGGGAACGATATCCACCTGCAGAGAAACTGAAGAAAAAGAAAAGAAGACAAAAAAGTCCAGTTCAACTTTCACATTTGAAATTTTGAGAATGGAACCCAGAGCCCTTGCTGGAAACAGGGTCCCTCAGCTCAGTGTAAGAGAGGCTAAAAGGTGGAGGTTGTGCGGAGCTGAAGGCCTTGTCACCACCAAAGTACCATCACCATGCAGCTGTGACAGAACCAGAGCATCCCACAGGGGAACACACTGTCCCTGGGGAGAGCTCTCTATCCTAAACGTGACCCCTGACCCTTGAGAGGGCTTATGGTCCCAATCTAGACTTCAATGTGAGCTATACCACAAGTGTCTTTTGATGGTCAACTGGGCTGTGTCACCGGCAGGAAGCCTGCCACAGCAGAACTAGGCCCCAGGGTCTCCAGAAAACTCCTCACGCCACCCTGTTTATCAATCATTGTGAAGATGCAAACTGATTCTGAAATAGGAGGGGCCAACAAATGCCCACCTTACCTAGCAACTTGGACCATCACACCTGATTCCCTAACAGAATGTACCGGCAAACACCATCACTCTTTTTAGACAGATGCTTGCCTAAAATCCTGTATTCTGTGCCCCCATGGATTTCCCTGTATCCCTTGGCTACTTCCCCTGAATTCTTGTTTGAATATTCGTATGTGCTGTCATTTCAACGCACTGATAAGAAAACACACGGCCCCAGATCTCACCGATTCCTACATTCAGCCTGCTCCTCATTTATCTGCTCTGAACAGATAACCGTTCCTCAGGAAAACCGTTTTAAGATAGAAAAGAAAATGCTTTATTCATTTGGATTTGACTTCCTTTTGCCTCTCCTCTTCTTAAGTAAATCTGAAAGCCAAACATTTGGTTCAATGCATAGAGCATTTCAAAGCCAAGATGAAGGAGGCGCCTGAACAAAACAAGCTGGGTCCTAGATAGTGACTCATGGAGTCTTTCCTTCCAACAGCCATTTTCTGTTCACAGTGGAATGGAGAAGCTTGTTGCCATGGCGACTGGCTTGCAGGCAGGGCTGCTGCAGCTCTAGGTCTGTGCTCATGTGATGGAGAGACCACAGCTGTTCTCAGAGAATACAGGGGCCAAAGGGATGGTTTGGGGTTGTGCCTCTGTGTGTGTGTGTGTGTGTGTGTGTGTGTGTGTGTGTGTATGTACCAGATGATTGGGGGTACAGTCTTTCTAACCATCCCTCCAATAGACAAAGCAAGTCATTGAGAAATCTAGCAAAAGGCTACAGAGAAAGGAATGATGAGGTAGAGCCAAGGATAGAAAATGGAAGGAGCCAGGACAAGGGGAAGGGATTGGAACAGGAGGTAAAGCAGGGAGGGGACTGAGCCCTGCTGTGGACAAGAGGAGAAGGTCAGCTGCTTCCAAATGCTGGACTGGAAGAAGCACTTCAGTAACCTAGGGATGGCTGGCTAGTCTTTGCTCTTCTCTAGAGAGAATGATCAGCTCCACACTGTGAGATCCAGAAAGGGTCTCAGATACCACCCTGCCCTGACTCTTTCCCTTCCAGATGAGGAAGAGAGACAATTGAGGATTGACCTTCTCATGGGCACTTCTAGTAAGAGCCAAGGTACCCTGAGTCCAGGCCTTCTGGTTCCAAGGTAGGTGTTCTGTGAACCATGCATGTAATTAACAGACCACTACTGTGCTTAGCAGAACGTGAGGATCAAAGAGCCCCTAAGTACGGGGAGAGATGTTTCCATTCCGTGTAAGGAATGATTTGGACATGCTGAGTTACGACCCTCAGCTTTGCCACTCCTTAATGAGAAGAGCAAGCCCAGCATGGACAAGGCCCTAGGGGCCTTACAGGAAGGGCTGTGGGCCAATACTAAGAGGCCAATCAGGGCCTCTTCTATTGCTTCCTTAGGAAGTGTAGAATCCTAAGCCATTCCTTACCTGAGTAATGGTCCTTTCTGGAGTTTATGGGGGCATTTTTTTTTAGAAAATTGGAGACATATTTCTGGAAAGTTCACTGGCCCATATGTTGAGCATTAGCTTCAACATATGGATCCGGTTACTCTGGTAAGAGTCCTCATTGCTTTGAGAAGGATATTCTTATCCTGAGTGAAAAAAAAAACCCAGCCCGAACTTGCTTTTTAAAGCTATTTTCCAAAAGAACATGACTCTCAAGGGGAAGCCAGAAAACTGAAGAGTTTTCATACCCCAAAGTGGCCAGGATCTAGCATGGACCACAGGGAAAAATAAGAAATGAGAATTTCAAAGGAATTCCCAGCTGCATGGGATCCCACGCACACATTCATTATGACAGAAGTTTAAAAATAGGTCTTCCATTGAGACTCCTGGCCTTCTGCACACATGGAAAAGAGAGCCATGTACCTCATCAAAACGCCAGACAATGCGGGGCCAGAGGGACCTTAGGATGCTGGATAAATGATGCCTGGGTATTTTCAACTGTAGCACAATGGTTCATCATTCTCCTATGAAGTACCAAATCTTGAAATATCAGCATTAGCAATGATGAAGTAGAAACCATGCTCTGGTGTCTTTCCCGCTGGGGCTTTGTGTCTAACTTCTACTTCCCTGTTAGAAACTTTTCTTGTTTCCAAATGCCTGCCTCGAGTTTCACATTCCTTCAGTAGCATGGGTGGGTGAGATTTGCTAACCAGGAGTAATGCACACTTTCAAAGACACTTATAAAAGCAGTTTTCCCAAAGAAAACATCTCATCCTGATTCCCAACACTCTCTGTACAAATGCAGGCACGTTTGCTGCATACAAAGATCCACGTTTCCACACCGAGGTGCAAGGACCTGCCTTGGTCACAAGACAGCCATTTCTATACCCTCTTCTCAAGAACTCATCTCCCAAGTCTACCAGGAGCCTGTCCACCCTCTCCAGTTGACAAAACGCACTGTCATATTGCACCTGATCTCCTCACAGGTTTTAGAAAGTTCTAGAAGGGCATGGAATACTATATTCATTTTACAGAAGAGGAAATCAAGGGCACAGAGAAGTGAAATAACTCAGGGAGGACTTCTCAGCAACCAAACCAAGAATGATAAAACATCTTATGCTAAGGCTACTGATCATTCCCCATCTTATCTTTTGCAACCTCCCAATGGGTTATTATATCTTGGTTACTACTTATTCTCTTTCCAAATCATGGTGTAGAAAGAGCTTGGCCCTTGAAAAAACTTTTTTTTCCTTTGGCTGTCATGGGACTTGAACTGAGGGCCTGGTTGCTATTTCTGAGCTTTTGTGCTCAAGGCTAGCACTCTACCACTTTGAGCCATAGCCCCACTTCTGGTTTTTCAGAGGTTAATTGGAGATAAGAAGCTCATGGACTTTCCTGCCTGGGGTTGGCTTCCAACCACGATCCTTAGATCTCAGTCTCCTGAGTAGCTAGGATCACAGGCATGAGTGACTAGCACCAGGTGTGTGTGTATGTGTGGAACTATTATAATCCATTTGCTTCCATCTTTTTTTTTTCTTGATGACTATAACTCTTTGTTTGCAGTTAGTGAAGGCATGGTAACTCCCATTTTGGGAACAGGTAAGGGTCAAGACTCCTATCCAAACTGAACAGTGTCCCAAGCCCAAGCCATTCCTTTCACACTATTCTTACTCTTGTGGATACACACACACACACACACACACACACACACACACACACACACAGAGAACAAAATAATTTTCCTTTTGCCATCTCACTTGAAAAAACAACAACAAACCCATGAGAGATGGGCATGTTCTGAAATATGTCTTCCACTTAAATGTCTTAAAAAAATTGAATTGATGAATACTCCAACAGAAATGCTGACGCTTTCAGGTGTAGACGGAAGTTTTATAACTCACCAACCCCCCAGCAGAGGTAGGCAGTCTTAGTTGCTAAAGAAAAGCGAATTAAAGGATGATAGAGTGCTTATCAGACGAGGTGGCCATCTCACGGCAAAACAACTGAGAGGAATTATTCCGATTTCAAAAGGGAGTTCGTAGATGTCGCTGAAATTGGCGACTCTTCCAGCGGTTTACTTTTACTGCTTTTCTTTTCGGATTCCAGTGGGCTACAGGGGAGGGGCAGTAAGTAAGAGCAGGCTGAGCGGAGGCCTCTCCTGAGGCTAACTGGGAATACTTCCACAATACCTTATGAAGTCACTGGCTGTCAAAGAAAAAACTTCAGCTGTGCTGTGGTTCACGGGCCACCGTGCACATCTGAGGGCAGCATCCTGGTTCACCAAGGGCATGGGTAAGTGGCAGAGAAGGCTGTGCCTAGCGAATCTCATAGCACGCGGACATTTGACAAAGGCTCCAATCTGTGGTCAGTGGACTGTTTCTGTTTTCTACTCCCATTTTAGGCACTTTATTTGTTGTTTACTGAATTCACTCAGAGCCCCTCCCCCTAAATAAAACCAGTAACCGGAGTAGTAAACAATAATGATCTAGAAGAGCCACATTAGCTTGGTCTCAGTGCTCTTGTCTGCACAATGGAGATGGTGGGAAAATTGAAGTAATGGGATTGGGTCATCACAGGAATTAAATCGGGTTGTGGTTAAGAATTCAGGGCCTGCAGCCAGGGACACTTGGGTCCAGATTCCAGTTCTGAGACTTAGTGTGAAGTTGTCAGGTGGATCACAGTGCCTGGATTCCTCAGCTAAAAATGAACAGAATGACTCTACAGGTCTCAAAGGGTTACTGCAATGATTTAGACAGGCGACACACACACACACACACACACACACACACACACACACACACACACACACACACAAGACCTCAACCAAACAAATTCAAATAGCAGGGAGGAGATAGCAGAAACTTCTTGTATATTACTGGATTCAAGCAGTCCAAACTCTATACTCTATATTATGGTATGGGCATATGCATTGAGATCTATATGTAGATGTGGGCATATCCACAGAGAAATTATACACGTGTATGTGTTTTAATAAAACAATGCAACTTGCCAGACTCAGGTTGTTGCAAGAGTAGACAAGTAAACTTATTTGGGGGAAATGATAAGTTTGGGATCACAG